ACACACACACACACACACACACACACGCACACGCACGCACAAATACACACAAAAAACAATCCCCTCAGTATATTCTTGTCCTCATCCTGGTCTCCATATTCTAGTCAACATCAGTATGATCTTGCCTTGTCCTCGTAGGTCATCTTCATCTTCACTCCGCATGGAGTCCTCTCTCTCTCTCTCTCTCTCTCTCTCTCTCTCACACACACACACACACACACACACACACACACACAACCACAGACAGATGCCTGCCCACTCCGCGTTTGTGCACGCATGTATGTGTACTTGTGCATGTTCATGCATGCATGGGTGGTTGTGTTCGCTATGCATAACTCGACAAAAAGAGCACGAGTGAGCCAGACTGTTTCGTCGGACTAACTTGTCAAGAGGTTGAACCCCAAAGGTCTCCCCTCGATGCACTTCCACACTTGCATGCGCTTGTGTGCCCATGCAATGTCATGGTGGCTATACACACCTCCACCAAAGAAGGCAGTGCGGGCAAGCCCTCAAACCAACAGGCCTTTGTACTCCACTACAGCGGGGGCGCCTCCCTGCAACGGCCCAATGCCTGCCAGGTACAGACATTTCTTTCCCTACGGGCCCGTACAGGCCGTCTTCTCAACGGGCACGGCGATCCAGACCATCCGCAGTCCTACCAGCCTGACAGTTCAGATCGTCGCGCAATCTTGAAGTCTCAAGATTGCACAATGATCTGAACCGTCAAGTCCGTAGGACCGCGGACGGTCTGGATCATCCCACGATCTTAAAGACCTAAGATTGCACGACGCACGGCGATCCAAACCATCGGCCCGATAGGACAGCAGACGGATTGCCCAATTCTCACATTAGGGATTTCTACAAGTGCAGGGACAAGGACTACTTGCCACATCAAACCAATGTTGGCTGGGGCAAGTTTCACCGCATCAGCTGTACATGCAGGCTGCCTCTTGCATTGGATGTCGTTCCAAGCAACAAGCACCACCGAAAGGCATAAGGAACTACAAACTCCCTTCACACCCCTTTGCACCTGATGAAGCGAGGGCAGGACGACAGCTGTCTGAGCAACGAGGCAAGACAGGACGGCAGAGAAGTCCCTGCCTCAAAAGAGGTTGCCTACAAATGGATGATGCATCGACTACCKTACTCCTCTACATATATAGAATACAGTCATTATATGAAGTAATATAACCCTCTTGGTTCTGGCTCCTGCCATTCTGGGGAGCAACAGTCCGGTTCCTGCCTCAAAAGAGGTTGCCTACAAATGGATGATGCATCGACTACCATACTCCTCTACATATATAGAATACAGTCATTATATGAAGTAATATAAACCTTCTGCCTTCATCAAAAAAGACAAAGCTCATGGAACAGGTAGAATTTTTTTTTGTGTTCGACAGACAAATTTGCTTCCATGAGCTGTGTTATTATCTCCTCTTCCCTTCTGACAGGTATCTCTCATTCTCCGTAAGAAAAATGGTGTCAGAAAGTTTTTTTTTTTTTTTTTAAAGTAAATCAGAACCTCTTGGTTCTGGCTCCTGCCATTCTGGAAAGCAACAGTCCGGTTCCTACTAAAGCTACCAACCAGATAAGACTTCTTATGTTGGCAGACCTTCACTCTTTGTTTTTCTTTGTCTAGCAGACCTTCCAACAGACACGTTCGATCTGTACAGGTAATACAAAGCACAGCAGACTTCAATCAGTGCAGCAATGTTCAATAACTACGCGCACACAAATTTGTGAGTCGACACATCGAGTCAACTGCTTGCACACAAATTTGCAAGTCAGCACGTTGCCATCAACGGCATCAAGAGAGCATCCTGCAGACTTCTATCAGTAGTGTAAGCAGGCACACACAAATATGCCGCCATGCAACCCATCATCTCAACTGCGTGCAAACAAATTTGCACATCAGCATACAACAGCGCTGTCCTTCTTCCGACTTCGATCAACACAGAAGATTCTCATTCGCCCATATTCACGGCAGTTACACAGCACAAGTTTCATCTCCCCATGCCCCCAGATTTTACCTCTTTCTCCTTAAAAGGCAGACAGCACTTGTGACACTCAAACCTTCATGGAGTTCTTTCTCACTTCAACGTGTTTGCTGTTCGACAACACTCAAGTCCACACCGTATTTCTTACAGAGAATGAGAGATACCTGTCAGAAGGGAAGAGGAGATAATAACACAACCACAATCTAGAACCACTGAGAACAAGTTGCCTTTCAAAAGTGGCACACTCCATGTTGGCTTTAAACACAATCAAAACGCAAACAAGTTACCCAACTCGTCACAGAAACGCTGAACGTGATTGCAGGCACCCAAAGCTGACCACTCTCCACAAAGGCTGCTCCACACACTCTCATTTCCACTACCCCACACCCACTGGACTCCGCACACAATGGCAATAGCTCTGTTGCTCCCAGAAAACTGCCACGACGCCTCCAACAAGATACATTAGCTGAGATAAACTAGTGTACTTAGCTGAGACAAACACGTCCATCTGTGGGTAATCTCTTTTCGATTATAGACAAAAGAGCACGGGGAGAAGACGAGAGGGGAACCCTCTATGGGAATTCTATTTCCAATTGCAAGCTAGAGAGCATGGGAAAAACAAGAGGAGAAGAAAACAGGACACAAGCAGAAAAAAGACTGAAAACAGAAACAGGACATGAAAGTAAAAAAAAAAAAAAAGAAACAGGACAGGAAAAGACTGAAAACAGCAACAGTCGACTCCGTTCGAGATACGAGAAGAAAAAACGAGGCGGAACAAAAAGAGATGCACTCGCTTTTCGCTGGCAAAGGGAATCTTTTTTCCAATACAGGCACGAGAGCAGGGGCAAAAGAGGAGAGGAAAACTTAAAAAAAAAAGAACCATAAAAATAAAGAGATAACAGAAAACAATTAACTCAGCCTGAGATGCAAAGAAGAAAGGGTGGAGGAAAGCCAAAGGACACATCGCAAAGCTTGGGTTGGTTCAAACCACGATCAAACTCTTTCTCTACGGTAAACAAACAACACGCGCGTGAATGAACACACCATTTGAATGCACACATTCCAGTGTGCTTTTCCCCTGGAGAGCTCATACACGAAAAATTGAAGTCCCGTTTCCGTCGACGGACCCACTCTGCTACCTCAACATACCCTCGTCAGAGAGACAATATCATCGATTTTCGGTTTACACGAACAGAAAAAAAAAACAAAAAAAAAAACGACAGAAGCGCTTAAAACCCCGCGGCACACTTTCATCTTCCTCCTGCCATTGGCGATCGATCAACCACTACCGCTCCTTTCTTCCTTTCTCTCTTATCTCTTATCTCTTATCCTCACGCGGCGTGGCCCACTCAACCTTCAAGATGAGATTGTCATAACCGTAACCATTGATCTTCGAGATCGCACGGATAGCATCGTCCCTGCAACACGTCACAAGCACACAACCGTTCCTTGCTGAGAAGCCGTATTTTTAATAACATCTTTATTATCTTTATAACATAATAATTAGCAAACAGGGCAGTGAAAACACATCGGAGCAAGAATCAAAAGCTCACACTGCAATAAAATAAGCCAAAACGAAACGTGCACTCCACAAATCCGGTCACCCAAACATAAATACTGGAAGTCAGTGACGTCCGCTATAGTATAAGCCAATAAGCGAAAACGACAAGTGCAATCCGTGATAGAATTAAGCCAAAAAAAAAATAGAGAAATGCGCTACGTCAATCCCTTCATCTACACATAAAATAAGACAGTGACACCACAATGCCTCCTACGATATCGCGGGCTCACAGTTCATGTGGCTGAATTGTATACAAGATATTAAATTACTAGTTATTCCTTAAAAAAACTAAACATCATTTCTGCAACAAACCCACCCATAGGTGGGAGAGCTAAAGAAGAAACTAATGAAAATCCTGTAAGCATAGGAAACATTTTTGGCTTTATCAATGCAATATATACCACCCAGCTCACTTAAACAAATAAAAAAAACATAATTTCTGCAACAAACCCACTCATAGTTGGGAGTGGCTAAAGAAGCTAATGAAAATCCTGTAAACATAAGAGACATTTTTGGCGTTTTCAATGCAATATACCACCCACCCAGTTCACTTCAACTAATCTTCAACTGTTACTCCTTTTGGGGATTTAACTTTGCCGTTCCTTTCTTTTCCTTGTCGCAATTTCGGCGTTTTGTGGAACCGAAATCGCCACCGCTTCCCGCCAGAGGGATGAGATGATTTCGGTTCAGAAAGCGCTGAAAAGAATTGCGGCGAGGAACGTCAAAAGAAGTTCAATGATCAAAAAAGAGGTAATAAACAGCCTACAGGTTGAGAGTCTTGAGACCTGAAGGAATCAAATTGATAGAACAACGTAACGAGATTCTTTTGACGTTCCTCGCCGCAATTCTTTTGGTCTATCAATTTGATGTATCCTTTCGCAAAACAAAATCGGACGAATTAAAAATCGTTTCTCAGAACGCAACCTTTGCATCGAAACGATATTCAAGGAATATATGACTTCAATTTTCAGGCTAAGGGGAAAGTCAATGAAACTTTCCTGCATGAATCTGACCACAAATGCGCGTACATTCGGTCGACAAAATGAGAGTGTGCCAAAGCCGCTGCACTATCGATTACTAGACGTCACCTTTGAGACAGACAGACAGCTCAGAATCCCGCTCTCTCTCTCTCTCTCTCTCTCTCTCTCTCTCTCTCTCTCTCTCTCTCTCTCTCTCTCTCTCTCTCCATCCATCGATTAGCCCTATCAGTCTCTCTCTCTCTCTCTCTAGCTCGCTCGCTCCTTTTCCTTACCGCGTACGGCTTCCGTGACGATCACGTGTCTGCTGTGCTTGTGTGCATCGAGCGGGTTCACTTGTCTTCACCGACTGATTTCTTCCTACGTAGTCTTCCATTTACTCTATCGTCACCTAACTGTCGAATCCCTAATCAACTGCTTCATTTACAGTTTGTGCATACCGTTATCTGGGCTGCCCTAAACTATAGCCACGTTCACACACTTGAAAAATTCAACAGCGAGTATGCCCTAACCTTCGCAGGGCACCCAACCCGTAGCCGCATCTATCACCATCGTGCAATCTCCTGCCTAACGGCCGTGCAACGTTTCCCCGTCAGGTGACGCTGCAATCCCGACTGCAATGAAAAGAGAGATGGCCTCCACTCGAAAAATGCAACCCAAACAAAAAAAAACTCCCAGAAGAAAAGCATGCGCGTACTTCATAATAAGCTGAATGGATACAATCAACTCAAGATTAGCCTTTGTCGACGCCATGCACTCAAAAGGCACCCAATAGCGTGAATTGCCGGCGAAAATTGAAGCCCCACGATAATCGCCCCCCCCCCTACTCCTAGGCAGTTAAATTAGGGGTCTGAACAAATCGATCTGACATACGATTTGCAGGTATGTAATTGACAGGATATCCAACTACGTTTGGTGCATGAAAAATAAAACTTTGACAAGAATATTGCAAACGCTGCCCAACCTACTAAATCTTCCGAGTGAAATAACATAAACTGACGCCTTCATATACATAGATAGGCATCAGAGAGCCCATCCCGGACCCTCCTATGTGCAAACTCCCTCCCTCGCATACAGCTCTCACGTAGGTCCTTAGTTAGCGGCTGTAAGTAAGACGTAAGCCGGCAGAGGCTTGGCAACCGCGACCTGGATGGACGCTGTGTGAATGATCAATCAATCAAATCTGTCTTCTCCATAGGACCCTTTGTGCGATGATTACCCACTTCGCCCGAATAGAACGCCCGGTCATTGTAGAAGCTGTAATTAGCGCAATTTTCATTTTAGTTGTAATCGGGGAAGGACAGCAGGAGGCAGCTGACCAAGCGCGAACGAAAACAAACGCGACGTGAAAAACGAATTTCTTATTCGTTTCTTAATGAACTACATTTCAAAACAGTTGCCCATACTTTTGAGGGTGGCAAGAAGAAGACAGTGCACAACATATTCCCCAATTCTTGTCCTTTCATTAAGGGACTCTGAAACGACTCCGCAAATGAAAAATAGCTCATCAACCAACGAGCCTAGCTCAGTTGGTACAACCAGGAACCATTCAAATACAGCCCTGCGTTGAAACGCTGCTGCAAACTTGGTCAATGGAAGGGAAACAAAAAAACGAAGCTCATCATCACACATATACCTCGGGTAAACTTCCACAACGGACATCTAGTGCGGAAGACAAAGGGGAAGCCGAGAGGACAACCGACCACACCGGAGGAGCAACAGCAGCGCTAAAGCGGGGAACACAAGTGCCACTGCATGGAAGATACTATAAGATAGAGAACGTCTGCTGCAACCCTAGGTCAGCAGAGATGAGGGGAAGCCGAGAGGAGAACCGACAACACTGAGCAACAGCAGCGCTAAAGCGGAGAACACAAGTGCCACTGAATGGAAGATAATATAAGATAGAGAACGCCTGCTGCAACCCTGGGAGAGCAGAGATGGAGAGAGAAACAACGCTCATGCGATACCCCAAGTTGAAAAGAAGCCGAGAGGAGAACCAACAGGGGAGGAATGACTACGGCGGCAAGCGGAGATAAGAGACAGAACGTCCGCTAGGGCAGCAGAGATGGAGAGAGGAACGACGCACAAAGTGATACCCCAAGTTGAAGAAAAGCCGAGAGGAGAACCAACAGGGGAGGGGGAATTGACTATGGCGGCCAAGCAGAGAACAAGACAAGCGCCTTGGAATGGGAGATAAAGAGATGGAACGCCCACTAGGGCAGCAGAGAGGGAGAGAGAGGGACCACATATAACACAAGTGATACCCCAAATGCGTACGTCTACATGACCCTAGGAGGACGAGTACTGACGAGAGAATCTACGTATTTGGCCTTATCGGTAGGAATAGGAATACTGAAGAGAGAAAGCGAGTTCTGAGAAGTAGCAAAGACTGGATTAGACAGACCGGAGGAAAAGGCGAGCGCTCCATAAGGAGGCAACAATCGCATACGAAAGTTGGCATTACGACATAGTAATACACCTCGAAGAGTGGGGATTCAGGGACAGTGGCGATTCAGGGACAGTGGGGATTCAGGGACAGTGGGGATTCAGGGACAGTGGGGCCCAAGCGAAGGAGAGAAACGGTAGAAGCTCCGTTCGAGTGCCGAGAGAAGGCCATCAATGGTGGTTCCTTCCCGAGGGACCCACCATCGAAACTGAAACGACACAGAGGAGAGATTCGCATGGATCCTGCGCCGGGATGATACGCATAAATCGAGAATAGGTCCAAATTCAAAAAGAAAAAGAAAAAAAAGAAAGTACAGAGGACGTAAACCATGTGAAGAAAAAGGAGAAAGAGCTGATGAACACGATGTAGTAAATGGGAGCTGCAAACTGCACCGAAAGGCAGGGGACGTAACCCATGCGAATAGGAAGGAGAACGACCTGATGAAAAGAACCAAGGAGCAGAGGCGATGGGAAATGGAGAGAGCAACCCAGATGAAGACAGCAACCCAGATGAAGACAGCCAGCACCGACTCGCCACAAATTTCTCAACTTGAACAAGGAGAGAGTGTGATGATGAACCAAAAACAACAACAAAAAAAATGATAATGAAAAGTTACAGATGCAGAGAGACGCAGAGAGGCGGGCAAGCGAAGAAGGATCGACAAACGGAACCCCAAACTTCACAAGCGGAGAGAAGAAGATACAGTACCGTTAGAATAGCAGCGAGGCACGAGAAAAAAGGGGGCGGACGAGGAAGCGGAAGCGAGGAGAACACGCATGTCGGGCTACGTAACGAAACCGTGGGAACCACAGAGAAAGGACAGGAGAAGAAAGGACAGGGAGAGAAAGGAGAGAGGAACTTTTCTTGGTTGTCGTCAATATCGTCGTTTGTTCATTGGCCAATCTCCGCCTGTAAACTTCGGTTCAGCGTATTCCTTCACGTACTCCTTGCGGGTGCAAAAATTGAGTACCTTGGCGGCGGAAGAGAACTGCCTGGCAAGTAGAGTACCCATAATTTCGAATAGAAGCGCCCTATTAATTGCCTCCCGAAGTGGGACAAGTACTCCATCTACCTCCTTATTGGGGGACGAACTGGGGGAGAAGTGTCCAACATAAGAAGCAAAGGTTAATAATAAACGTCTAACGTTATAAGAAGCAAAGGTTAATAATAAACGTTTAACGTTGTAAGCAGCAAAGGTTAATAAACGTCTGACGTTGTAAGAAGCAAAGGTTAATAATAAACGTTTAACGTTCCGCGGCAGAGATTCGAGGCAGAAACAAGCGTCATACTATCCGATCAAGGCATTCTAACACAGACCAGGGCACACAATCCACATAACATCAAGGCACTATAAGAGAAGAAATGACAGCATCATCCATATGACTTGCCACTGATCACTGANTCAAGGCACTATAAGAGAAGAAATGACAGCATCATCCATATGACTTGCCACTGATCACTGACATCCCGCCCGAAGAAGGCTCTACGTAAATAAAATATACCAGTAATTTAATATACTAGTACTTCAATGAGTAAGATGGCACAGTACACGCACACCCACGGCGTCATGTGCGCGACTGTGGCAAGCGAAAGACCGGAGTACGGGGACACTTCCGCCGCCTTGCGCACAGCTGTCGCCGGCTTGCACACCAATTCCGCCGCCTTGTGTCACCACTTGCGCGCCGCCTTGTTCACAACTTGCTTGCCCCGCCGCGCTCTTGAGTGAGACAAGTGCAAGATACTAAAGGCGGCGTGTAAAAACAGGAGAGAGAAAAGGCTACGCAATAAGGTAATTATACGCAGCAAAGGGCGTGGTTACGAGAGTAGAGGGGGAGAGGGATGTAGAGAGGGCGTGAGGAGAGGTGGTTAGTCGGAAAGGAGTTCGATAGAAGACCTCGACAGACGTAATTAGAGACTAGAAACAGTGTAACAAGAAACGGGAGGAGAGACTGGCAACAACACAGGAGAAGAGATCAACAGACGAATGAATAGGAAGGACAGAAAGGAAGCCAGTAGCCCAAAATCGATTGACGAATGAAACGCAGAGAAGAGAACGGCGAAAACACGGACAGATAGAAAGAAGAGGGGAGGAGAGGTGAAGAGGAGAGGAGTCGGGCAGAAAAGGAGGTGCAAGGACAAGAAGAAATACCTTGAGATTCCCTTCGTCGTAAGAAAAGGTGTGCACGAACGGGAAGAGGCCTCGAAAGCAAGAGACGGAAAGGACATGACGCTCACAAGTCGGCAGAGGGAAGAAAACAGGCAGAGTAGAGGACACGACGGGACTTGGAAAACACGGCGCGGAGGAGACAGACAGGGGATGGGGGAGAATTAAAAAATAAAAAAAAAAACAGAAGGATTTGAACCAGCTGAAGGAGGACAAGCCAAGGAAAGTCTAAGTCTAACCTGTTGACGAAGTTGATGAAGGCAAACCCTCTGCTCAAGCCAGTTTCTCTATCGAACGCCACATAGATACGAGAGATGGGTCCAAAAGGTCTGAACAACTCCATGAGGTCCGCCTCCCTCGTATCTTCAGAAAGATTTGTGACACGAATGGAGTTATCATCTCTTCCTCGTTGCCGCATTCCCTCTCCCTCCTTGTTCGCCCCTGCTCTCATGCTAGGCGGCACGTACGCTCCTCTTCCGGGCGCTGCCCCTGCAGAAGCCGCACCTGGAGCACCGTCTTCCGTTGGCGCCTTGTCCTGGAACATACCATCCTTCGCCAGATCCTTGTACGGACACTTTGACGTCCAGTGATCACCCTTCTTACCGCAGATACGGCACACGATGAGAGACGTATTCCCGCTGGCCACCAGTCCTGCCAACTCGTTCTTCTCCGCCTCCTTCCCTCCGCTAGGGCCTTTCACTCTTTCCAAGAAGATCTCTTCCGTCGATACGATCGTAACGTTCTGATTGCCCGACACGAGGGCTGCGTCGCCAAACTTACGCCATTGCCGCCGCTTAATTACATTCTTGTTCATTTTCTTCACCTGCTTCTTGACTCTGCTCTTCGTGGTAACCTTGACCTTCTCGTCGCGTTCATTGTACCTGTACTCGATTACGATCTTGTAACCATTCTCATCAGGACCCAGGACCTGGATGGGCGGCAGAACTCCCTCTAATCCATCATCGCCGTCGTCATCCAAGTCGTCTCCCCACCGCACTCTGCCATCGATTGGAGGCGCCATCTTCGCGCGCGCAACCCTAGAATCCCACACACAGAAAGACTGACAGGGACGATTTCACAAGCTGTAAACGATAGGAACGGTCTAGGTATAGGCTGTCTTCTATCTCGTTGCGCTCCGATGACTATCTCAAGAGGGTCAGGATGCTCGGAAACCAGACCGGACAGGAAAGCCGGTGCAAGTACACGATACCCGTGGCGTCGCTGCCAGACGGACAGAGTACTTCAACTCCTGCTCCTGTCCGCTCACTGAAGCGACGGCGGGAAAATGCGTTCCTGTATGTGGTTCGAACGACGGATATGGCGACAGGACTTGCGTCCGCAGCGCAGAGTGAGGGCGGAGTTGGGTTGAGTTGGGTTGACCTCCGCCGCGCCAGATAGAAAGAATATCGGAACCTGGACCGTGTTCGTTTCGGCGCACGGGGCTTGGCGTGCGCGGGGCTTGGCGTGCCAGGCCGTGCCCACGGCCAAATGGAGACCAAAGAGCGCTCCAGGTTTTGCGTGCGTTCCCAGGCCTTTCTCACCTCTTTGGACCAGCTGCTAACTGTGACATTTGCTGGTGGCACCTTGAAACCATTACAGCGGCAAGCGCCACGATTGTGGAACCAGGACTGCGTTGGAGGGTGTGGAATTTCATAACCCGTAAGGCTCCAACGCTTTCACAAGGTTTTGCACGCCCTGATGGAACCGGAACTGCATTGGAGACAGGCCCACGAGGCTCCAACGCTTTCACACGGTTTTGCACTACGGGGTGGTCAGGATGTTGTGGGAGGCTCTAAGGTGCTGGGAATGTTGGGAATATAATTCTGGTATAACTGGACGCCACTACAATGAGGGCGGGACACCGCTAGAATGTGCCCTCGAGTTCGTTAGGTTGAAGTTAGATTCTAGTGGCGTGGAGTGAAACAGCCACCACTCCCCCCGACAGCCGAAAACCCATGGCCCTGTGAGTTAGGGTCAGATTCGCAGCGGCGGGTCCAATCCCATCATTTGAAAGCCGCAACTTCGGCAATTTTTCGTGCTCAGAGTAATTCTTTAAAATTTTTTAAAGCTTGAGGGTCCGTAGATTAGGTCGTGATCTTTCAAGAAAAAAATATCAGAAAAAAATAAATAAAATTATTTTGATTGTGAAATACTCATCGCGTCGATTCGACACATTTTTAATTTTTTTTGCAAATTTTATTTTTGTCATTCATCCGGTTTTTCACTCTATGTTATCGGTACCCCTCGTGAAACGGCACTACTAATAGAAGGAGTTTCTTTGCATCGGGAGAAGTGGCGGTTTAATGGATGTCAGTCCTTTCTAAAGTTGTAGACGGAGGAGGGCAAGTCCGGTTGTAGCACAGTGGCATGGAATAACGCCCCTTCTAAAGTTGTAGACGGAGGAGGGCAAACCCAGTTGTAACACAGTCCCAGTGGCAGCATAGTGCCGTATGTTTTTCAGTGGTTGAGATAGCTTATGACCAATGTCTAACCGCAGGGACGCGAGGAACATATACCTAAAATAAATTGCGATATCACTAATAAATTATGTTTTAAAAATAATAGTAAAAATAATGTTTCGCAAAACAACACTTACACTTGTATCTTATCATGAATAATATATTTTTTATGTTCATGATTGTTTTTTTAATTTACTAAGAGCATCCTTGTTGTAAGGAATGAATAATTTTATGGGTTAATATTTTTTGGGGATTTCAATATGACCGCTAACATGAAAAATCAAAAAAGGAATAAGAACAAATTGAAAGTTTGTAGGTTTGTGATATTGTTGTGTCCTGGGTTGCCGGCGTTCGGGACGGGCCGAACGCCCGAACCCGAACGCCCGAGCGTACGGGACCCCTTCGGAAGGTGTTCGGTAATTTGGGCCGAACACGAAAAAAATATATATATATATACATGGACTACCAGGGTCATTTTGAATTTAAATCAAAAATGGACTATATCATTCTCTGAGTTTTTGTTTTGATTGCAATATCAAGTCAATATGTTCCGAAAATTTAGGATTCAATAATTTCATCTCAGAGATCCAGCGTTGTTGAAATTTAGCATCTTTGTAAAGCAACATCGTTTTTCTTAGCATACTTTGAA